CCCCCCCCCCCCCGCCAGCCACGGGGCCGCGGCACGGCGGCTCAGGTGTACTCGCAGAGGTGGCCGCAGCCCGCCGGGCAGTGCGAGCTCGTCTCCAGCCACTTCATGATGTGCTGGAGGTGCCCGCCGTGACTGCAGCCCTGGCACCACACAAAGAGCCCCTTCACCACGTGGTGGCACACGGCACACATGCTGGCACACTGCCGACACCTGTCCGGAGAGGAGACGGGTGAGCGCACACAGGGAAACCCCGTGGGAAGGCAAAGGTGGGGGACACCCAAGGACACCCTCCAGGGGCACGACTGGCTCCGAGAGCCCCTCTGAGCAGCCCAGGCAGTGCAGAGCGTGCGCTTCCACCAGCTCAGAGGAACAAGGGACACGCCTGGGCTCTGCCCTTCACCTCGGTGGCTGGATGCTGTCCCCCCCGCCCCCGCCTGCCCAGCGCCTTGGGCACCACCACCTTCACCTGTCACAGATCCAGCCCCTGTTGCTCATGGGCCGCTTGCAGTTGCTGCAGTTGATGTGCAGGGTGGTGGAGGCCTGGTTGAGGCAGTTGATGGCACGGCACGTGCTCAGCTTGATCACCTCGTTGGAGATGTTCCAGAGCTGGAAGCGCTGCAGCAGGTCGATGTAGGACGTGTACCAGTGCTCCTGGGAACAGCACACAGCTGAGTTCCCTTTCCCCTGCTTCTGCCCAGGGATCCCAGCCCCAGGGTCAGCTCCCCAGAAGGCAAGATCCCTGCAGGGGAGGAACTGCTCTGCAGGGCTTGAGGGAGGCTCCTTCCCCAAAACAATGGGCCAGGCCACTTCTCCTGCCCCAGCTCTGCAGACACTACCAAGACACTACCTCCTGGGAGACCCTCAGGCCAGGCTCCACTATCCCAGCCAGGACAGCACACAACTCAGCCAGCCAGTTACCAGGGGTCCTGGTGGAGGAGCTGCCCTCCCAGGCTTAGAGATGCCCCAGCAAAGGCTGCAGAAGGGAGATGCCTGGGCCAGGCAGGACCCCATTTCATTTGGGTAAACCACCTCATAGTCACTCCAAGGCGCCCCATTGCATTGATGCTTCTTGTGGGGTTGCCACACCAGCCCTGAAAGGAGGATTCAGTTCACTCCTCAGCCTTGCTGTGACATGTGCTGAAAGGTGCTAGTTAACAGCAGCAGCAACTGCCACTCGCGCAAGGAGGAACCTGCCGTGCGGCCTCAGCAAGGGAACTGCACATTTTTCCACAGGACTGCTAGATCGGCTGGGTCAGAGATGCTGGGAAAAGGAAAGAGGATGAAGCCTCAACTCTTTCTCTTGCCATGGCCCAGGTTAGAAACACATGTGCTCCTGCAACCTACGCTCCTGCAGCTCTTCAGACCTGCAGCGTGCAGCACAACGGCAGGCTACAACAGTTTCACCTATGGCAGGGACGCCTGCACCCATCCATACGGCCCTCCAGGAAGGGAATTCCCAGGGAAGAAAAGGGGAGGAAGAGGCAGCGTAACCCACAATGCGGGCAGGAAGGGGGCAGCTGGGGTGGTTGTGTTGTCAGCTTCCCTGTGGGTACCTGGGTCTGCTCGTCGATCTCCTTGCGGATGCGGTCTCCCAGCACGATGAGCACTGACACAGCTGTCTGTACATCACCCTGCTCCGCGTAGAAGAGCAGCGTGTCCCGCACGATGGGGTTGAAGAAGTCTGAGGGCAGGCGGTTCTCGTAGAGCGAGTGGGAGATGGAGATGAGGGAGAAGGACTCCACAGGTGTCAGTGACACTGTCTCAGCTTCATTGCCGCTGACATGAGGGGAGTCAGCCTTGTCCTGCAAGTGGTCCAAGGCTGACGGGTTGTCCACGATTTCATGGCGCAGGGGGAAGGCTTCCTGGGGAAGGCTGTATTCTTGCTCTTCAGCTGTAAGGAGAAACACCCTTCCTATCAGCAGAGCTTGTGCCACGGACAGGGAAAGGCCAGGAGAAAGTCGAGCAACACAGTTGGGACAGGCAACACCTCTCAGCACCAGCAGTACACTCACCGTGAGGGTTCTCATGGTCCATCATGTACAGGTCATCCTCATCCCCTTCCACATCCCCCAGCAGATAGTCGGCGGGGACATCGCTGCCCTCCGTCTCCTCGTTATCTGCGAGCCCAGAGAAAGCAGTCAGTGCATCCGCGTAGGCCACCCAATCAGACACACGTCCCCTGTCCCATGTCCCAGTGCCTCGGGCTGTGTGTGAACCAGCCAGCTCCACAGCACGGTCGCATTCCCAGCACCCACTGCCACCACTGTGGCAGTCACAGGGGTAAGTTGTCCTTCTGCGGCCCCCAGCGCTCTGCACGTTTCACCAAGGCCAGACCTCTCCCACACCAAAGCCATCTGTGGCTGGGACTGTGCCATCAGGGATCAGCGGAGGATGGAGCAGCCACAGGACTCGGGCTTAGCCCCAAGAGGCTCCCCAACACGTGGAGCCTGGCCTGTGCCTGCCCCACAAAGGTTACCCTCGTTGTTGATCAAGGTGGAGGAGGAATCCATGAGCATATTTTCCGTGCGGCTCTCTCCTTTACTGCGATCCAGTCTCGACTCGCTGCCTAGCCCAGAGGGGATGTCTTTCAGGTTAAAGCTGGGAAAGAAGCCACTTGCTTAATTTAATAGTCACAGAAGTTTACAGCTTCCACGCTAGACAGCAAACAGCCTGGATATAGGTCTCCGGTCAATTTGAAAGCAGACATGATGATTTTCCTGAGAGCAAAAAAGCCAGTCCTCCCCACTCTGTTACTTAAAAAAAATATATATTGCAATTGTTACCACAGTCATTTCTCCAAGCCTGGCATCTCTCTGCACTCACCACAAAAGGCATCTGCAAAGATTTCCTTAGACAACTTTAGAGCTGAGCACAGACTCCTGAGCCATTTCTTAATATTCACATTCACCTTAGAAATTGGTAAACAGGGAGTTGCCTTTCTACAAGACGAATTGCTATGTGTTACGCATGCCTGCTCTCAAGCTGTACTGAGGTGGAAAGGAACTGAATGGAAATGAAGGAGAACTGCGCTCTTCAGTTTGCTGCTTGCAGTTTTGTAGTTATTGACAATGACCCGTCTGGAGCTTGGGAGCTGGCCTGATGGAAGTGTTTTCTTTGATGCTATTCAAGTTTATCCCAGTCATCTGGGAACCAGGCCCTACAAGGTTTGAGAACTAATTTGGAGTCCTCACTCATCAGTTTTATGTCATTCAAAAGAGGAAAAACAAGTTTTACTGCTTCATCAGCCCACAATGGGGCTCTCAATTCCAGTGAGCCACTTGTGAAGCTGAGCTGTCCTTTGAAAGGTAGCAGACCTCTCTCTGCACCAGCATTAGCTCTGCAGCAGCTCTAGCTCCAGCGGTCGGACAAGGGTTCTCCACCCCCAAACCATGGTCACAGTCACAGACCGCAACTCGCTACTTAAATGACTAAAATAGACCACAGCAGCCTCACATCTCATCACAGCCAGCTTAAAACTTCATTTCAAAGAGAAAACGGAGCATACTTGTGAATAGCCTGCACCCCCGGCTTGAAGCCGGGCTGACAACTCACTTCTTACACCCACATGGAAAACGGCAGTAATCAAACCATGCTGCCAACCAGCAAACCCGCGTGGCAGGGTATTCAGGCAGCTTGAGGGTCAGGGAGAACCATCCTTGCTCCAGGCACAGCAACTCCAGCCTGGGCAGGATGCTGTCTCTGCTCTGAATTCCCATTGCTGCAGCTGCCTAGCCATCACACGGCTCAGTTCGGCTCCTGGCACCCCAGGGCAGCCCTTACCTGTTCATGAGCGGCAGGGTGGTGCTGCCTTTCCCTATGCTGTGATTGAGGTTAGCAGAGGACACAGTGCCGAGGCTGGAATAGATGATTCGGAGCATTGTCCACGTTTGAGCCACCTATCCCAGAGGAGAGAGGAGTTAGACCCTCCTGCTAGCTGCAAGCTGAGGAGCAGAAGGATGCTGTGGGCTGAGCGCAGGCAAGAGACTGCTACGCCAAGTAAGGACCTTCTGTGGCTCTGCTCCCTCAGCCGAAACAGTGCTGTGGCTCTAGCCCACCCCAGATCTCCCATTGCACCCAGGGAGATAACCAGGTCTCCTGAAACCATGGAAGGTTTCAACAAATAGTCATTGTCACCTCCCCTGAAATAGGGCTTGATCCTGCAGGGAGCCAGGCAGCTTCTTTTTTTTTTTTTTTTCCCCCCCTGATCAAGCTTTAAACACAGCTACACACCCCCATCTATCCTGCCCACCCCACGGGGATGGCTCAGTAAAGGCACGCAGACCCCACCACCGGAGCCTAGGCCAGGTTAAAAACAGGCCCACGCAGCCACACGCCTGGCTCCAAACTACCAGTGTATGCTGCTGAGCTGGGCACGCTCTCAGGGGTGTCAAATTTCCAGACACAGTGCCCACAGTAACCACAGTTATGCTTGTTGTAGGCAACAGCGTTACAGGTCTGGTGCCAGAGCTGAGGGAAACCTCACAGAGACAGCCGGAGGGCAAAGGAGAAGATGGATGGAGAAGAGAGGCTATAAGCCAGAGCCGAGCTCCCATCCAGCTAGGGTGGCAGGTCTCCTTCCGACAGCATCTGTCAACCTTGGGACTAGTCCAAACCTGTGGCAATAGTCTCCCTAGGTGCAAGGGACTAAAAGTAGAAGAGAAAGGAAATGAGTGTGGCAAAATCCATCTGAAGAAGGGGATGGGACTAGGGGAGGGCTGGAGGAGGCTGGCAGAAGCAGCAGGATCTCGAAGAATATGAGAAAAGACTCACTCTAGAGGAGAGAGGACAGCCAGTGGGAAGAGCTGGCAGTTCCCAGCATCGACCCAGCCCCTCTCCACAGATCTGCCCAGGGCAGAGGTACGGCCACTTCTCCGTCCCACAAACGAGACACGCCTGGAGCAGGGCGAGGTCAGGGCAAGGGACTCACAAGTGACAATCCCCAAGAGCAGGTCCCACCCTGCAGCATCCCTCTCCGTCCCCTGGGCACGGTGGGTGGAGAACAGGCACCCCACAAGGCACAGGTGGGATGGAAGGAGCTCAGCAGCCTGAGCGGTGTGACAGAGCCCTCCCCACCTCGCGCTTACCTGGTTGCGGTCTAGGCCCTTGGCCACCTTGGCGTTATGGTCACAGAGCTCGGCCAGGGGCCTGCCGGCCAGCGCATACTGCTTGGCTGTGTGGACAAACCAGTCCATGCTGCCGCTCTCCACGTCCGTCTCAAAGACGCTGAGGGCGCTCGAGGAGGAGATGTATTCAAACTGCTCTGTGGGGTCCAGCTTGCGCTTGAAAAAGATGGGGTGGCGCCGGTCCCCGATGTAGGGCTTGCGGTTGGAGTCAGAGGAGATAAGGCTCTCTTTGGCCGCAAAGGCCAGGTCTCCATAGAGACTGTAGCACAGCCCCTCGGGGTTGGCCCGGTCGATGGGCTGGCTGGCGTCCTTGAAGATGTGCTGGTACAGGGTGCTGTCCTTGGAGCCCGAGAGGAGGAAATAGGGGTCATGGAGGTGACGCCACACAATGCCCGTGGTGACGTCCTTGTGCTCCTCGAACATGGCGGATGGGATGAAGGGACGCCGCACGTCCCATACATAGATGTTGTGGTCCACCATCATGGAGCAGGTAGCGATGTGGTGCTTGCACTCCGGGCGCCACTTCACCCGGGCCACGGAGGCGATGGTCTGCACGCAGTAGATCTCCTTCGCCCGCGTGGTGTTCATGTCCCACACCTTCACCATCTTATCTCGGCCCCCTGTTGCCAGCCAGCCCCTGGGAGAAGGACGGAGAAAGATGGTGAGACACCAACCTGGGTTGGCCTGGGATGCGTGGCTGTTCACCCCTCCTTTCTGGCCCGAGCACAGAGAGGTGGATGGCACTCACAACCCAGGTGCAACCGCACGCCAAGACAGGCCGGCCAGCTGAGCCACGCTCCGTGTCAACGGGAGCTGGCCAGGTTGCAATCACATCCTCCCATGCACTACCCTAACGCCTCTACTCTCAAATAACCAGGCCAGGCAACACCCTTCCTCCCCATCCCAATTTAAGGGCCTATATCTTCAGAACAACACTCATCTGGAGGGCTCCCAGACACACCAGTTTCCCCCACCCAAGTCTTCTGCTTGTCAGCAATAGCAGAGATTAAAAAAGGCCAGTTTGAACACATTTCAGTGCCTCAACTTGTGAAGAATGACAGCACTGCCTAGCGGGGAGCAAGGAGCTGCAGCACTGGAGTAGTAATTGCTCCCACCTTCTTCCAGTAACAGCATAGCCCCTGACACAAGAGGCCAGGGTATCAGAGACCCTGCTTTCCCTTGGAACACACTAATGCTGTTTTTAGGGCCTCACTTGCCAGCTTCCCTAGTGCCAACCTCCCTCAAGGCCAAGGGGTTGGCCCGGCCGCCCAGCCACCCAGCCCAGCACAAACCTGTCCTCCGGGTGCCAGTCACAGCAGAAAACGGGCCCGTTGTGGGCCGTGAACATCCTCTCATAGCGGTCTGGCCGGCGAATGTCCCACAGCTGCACGTTCCCATTCTCAAAGGTGGCAGCAAAGGTGAAGTAGTCGCGGATGCTGAACTGCACATCTCGCACGCTCTCTGACTGGCCTGAGCAAGGAGAGAAATCAAGACCCGATGGGACAGAGCCCCAGCAAAGCCATTGCCTCACCGAACCAATGCTCAAATCCCCAGCAGTCCCATCCAGGTCCCAGCATCCCAGCTGGAAGAGATACGGGCAGTCCAGTGAGAAGGGGAAGCAGGCACTGATGGAATAGCCTACCGCCTCCCCACGCAGACCCAGTCCTGCCAAGCCCTACTCAGCTCACTGCCAAGCAGCAACCTCCAAAAGCAGCAATAAGACCCTCAGCTCCCTCCCTGCCTGCTCCAGACATTGTGTCTGGAGCAAACCTTCCTCCTGGACACTGGAAAAAACGCGAAGACCCTGATCTCTGCATCTCACCAGGGTAGAGGGTAAAGAGCAGGCTGATCTCTTACCAGAGAAGGTGCTGACAGAGTCCTTCTTGCGCAAGTCAAAGCATTTCATATAGCCATCCTGGGAGCCGCTGAGCAGCATGTACACCTCGGTGGGGTGGAAGCAGACCTTGTTGACGGTGCGCTTGTGCTCTGTGAACAGCTGGTCCTGTTTGTTGCGGGATGGCTTGCCCAGGTTCCAGGTGACAACCACACCGTTGGTGGCAGCCGTAGCCAGCAGGTTCTCGTCCATCTGGTGCCACACCACATCAGCACAGCTGAAGTTCAAGGAGGGCTTGCGGCCGACACGGAGGTTCAACTTCTCCACAAACTGGTCCTCCTCGATGGAGTAAATCTTGAAGATGTTGCGGCCAGCCACCACCACCTGGGCAGCGTCGCGGCACACACTGATGGCATTGGCAGGGGCGTCCAGGTGGCAAAACATGGTCCGCCCCGTGATGGTGTTGCCCCCTAGGGCGGTGGTAACCCTGGCCATTTTCTCCATGGCCGTCCTTGGCACGGACTCCCCCCTCCACGAGCGGGCTCTGAGGCTCGTGTCTCCGCAGGCCGCATTCACGCTCACACGGCCGCCCTGCTCTGCCTCAGCCAGCGCTGGGAAGGGAAGGGCTCGGCTCCA